TTTGAAATATCCAATAAATTTCGTTCCACTTCATGATTGTGTCCCACTTGCTGTTGATTCTTCACAAAAAATTACAGTTTTATATCTTTATGTTTGAAGCCTGAAATGTGGCAAAAGGTCGCAAAGGTCAAGGGGGCCGAATACTTTCGCAAGGCACTGTATATATATATATATATACACATACATATATACATACATACACACACACACACTGTATACATGAATTGTGACTGAGCTGTTCTGGCCTTTGCTTGTCTTTAGGGTAGGCAGCTAATGATTCATTTCATTCTAGTCAAATCAAGGCATTGTTCACTCAACGTGCTGATTGTATTCACCGACTGACGCATAAAAAATGTCAAAAAGGCAGAAAAAAATACCCATTACAATTTCCCAGAGCCCAAGATGTTGTCTTTAGATTGCTTGTTTTTTCTGACTAAAGGTCCAAAGAACAAAAGATATTCCATTTAAAGCTACATAAACCAGATAAATATACTGAATCAACACAATGGGATATTTTACCATTTATCAGACCTCAACACTACTGAAATCCTTCACCTTTATGTAATAAATTCTTCTATAGTGTAGGACAATTAGGACATCATTACCTTCACTTTCAGCCAGGTGAAGTTATGACATAATTATGTTATACCCCTAACTATTACACCACTTGTAGAACACAGTAACTACACGTACTAATACCTGGACTCAAAATCCTTGTGCGTATCACTATACTTGGCCAGTAAAATTAATTTTGATTCTGCTTCTCTGCTGCCGAACCTAGAAGGCTTGTGAAATACTGGTTGAAATGAATACAGAAACCTCCTGGACACAAAGCTGCTGCAGTGTACAAGCCAACAGCAGAGTGGAAGCATAGAGGCATATTTTCCAGTGAGACAGTAATTCCAAAAACACTGGTATTAATGTACCAAGTGAAAAGGCTCCTTCTGAATGTCTGTACACCTGCAGTGGGCCCACATCCTCTGAAGAGTTTTAAAAATGTATTACTTTATAGTGTTACATGTCTTCCATCTTGTATTCTGCTAACTCCATAATACACACCTACTCACACAGGGGCATTCATACAGAACTGACTTTACCCCAAACCCACTTTTTACTTAAGTCATGCACAGTGACATTCATATTTTATGTAATTTGCTTTTTCTCTTTAGCCATGCTAGCGGCGTCACTCTAGGGATATTGGTCCACTTTGATCCAGACTAAAATATCCTATTAAATTTTGTGCAGACATTGTGGTCTCCAGAGAATGAATCCCAGTGGCTTCACATGACTTCTCATTTAACACCACCCGAGGTTGACATTTGGGAATTTAAAGACTTTTTCTACCACTACCCTACTGGTCCTTCTCCTGAAAGCATCCTGGCTTTAAAACATTTTTTCTTACTGTACCCTAAATTCTCCCTTTTATTTTCTAATCTCTGTACCTTACACTAATGCATTCATCTCTTCACCCTCTAGGAATATTGTGAATATTATATATTGTTTAATATATTATTTTGGCCTATTTGTTGTGCTGCCAACACTGTTCACTAAACAAATGTTTAGTGAACAAATTCCACTTATTCTGGCTGCACCATGGACGGATGACTGAACAGGTCTACTGGACACAGAACCTGGGGACCAAGACCTTTAGAAAGTCAACCTAATGACTACATATTAAGAAAAAAATGGATGCAATACAACTACACAGAGATACAAAACCACTACAAAAAGAGACAAAATAGCTAAAAAGAGAAAACTACAAGATGTAAAAAACAAAAAAAAAAAAAAACACAAAACAAGTAAAAAATAGGTGCAAAATTACTAAAAAGAGATGCAAAACGAGTAAAAATTGACACAAAATGGTTAAAACCATATGCAGCACAATGACAAAGGGACACAGTATTACTCAGCTTGAAGTTTGGGTTGTAAAGTTTTAATGTGATGACATTCATCAACCCACACAGTATTATTTTTACCACACCTTTTCAGTCAGTTTCTGCTGGTTTTGCCCTTTTCATACCTTCACAACATCTGACTAAAGGCCATTGTCACCTTTTGATTTGATTTGATTTGATTTGATTTATTCTTTCAAGCATGTAAAGACAGTTGATATGACAACACACATAATTTTACACATAATCCAATATCAATTTGCTTATACCTAGTACATGCTTGAATGAAGTAGGAAGAAGTCAGACTTATCCAGTCCTACCCCATGACATCATCTTACCATCATTGGTTTGCAAGCAGTAAATGATTCACTTCTACACCACACAAGTATTATACTAAAAAAATAGTGTTAACATTCTTACATAATTACATTCTTAAATAATTCTCTTCTACACCACACAAGTAATATACTAAAGAATTATTACAAAGTGTTAACATTCATACACCACACCCACAAT